GAGACATTTTCCTGATATTTCACTCTGAAATTTGTATCCTACCCATAAATGTCAACCATAAAAAATTTCGCTATTATGGTTTATCATGGCATCTAGGATATAAAAGATATGGGAGTGTTATATAATGATTTAAGGTAACTCCTACATGGAAACCTGGACCTGAGTAAGTTTTTAAGTTCTTACCTGTATTTCATTCAATAGGAATGTTACCCAAGCCCAAGTTAAATAAATAACTAGGTTTAAGGTTACCTAATAGTTCCAGGGTCGTCACTAAGATTTCAAGTTGCTGGGTAAATGCCACAAGTAGGCGGGGAATCAAACGGCTAGGGATTTCTTTTGATTCTGTTTTTCTTCTATTTTTGTATGAAAGTAGCTGGGGACCGCATTCGTAGTAGCCGGATGAGATCCCCGGCCTCCCACCTCTTAATGACAGCCCAACTAATACACTGTAAACATGAACTGTTATTATCATCATGTACTGGGGATGGATTGCTTCAATTTAGATCGTAGGCGGGGTTCTCCCTCGTCTTCAGTGCATGGTATAAAGCAACTAAAATAAATGTGCAAAAGTAACTTCTCATTAGTATGGTCCGATTTTATTTTATAAATTGGTATTTTTTGTATAACGTCTCTTTAGCAGTTGTGCATGTGTTGCTATTATTTCTACGTATCACCGTCACAAAGGCTGGTGAAATCACGTACCAAACATATTGTATTAACTTACTGGGAAAATGGCATACAATGAATCACACAGATTTTTTTTTTCAGCTATAAACTGAAAATTTAAAAGAGAATAGCATTCTTTGAATGAACAGATCTTGAGCTTTTCCTGAATCAATTGTCCTCCTCTCATATTTACAGTACCTGGATGTTTGCCTATAGATGCAAACCTGTGGGGAATGTTATCTCTATTGCACTTCCTTTTCTCTCAGGGTACAGCGGTATCAAGACATGAATGAGAAGTGAACGATTTTGTATTAAGACTGACCCAGAGCCAGTTTTGTAAGGGTTAACTAGCTGCTTTTATATTCATCTATAACTGGGGGTTTGACAGTACCTGTGGTGGATGGCCATTGTATTTATAACGAGTCCATCCACCCTTAAATAGGTCCCCCTGAATGCCCTCGTACCCTTCTTGACCACAGGCTGTAGGTTGGTGGGTAAGCTAAGTTAGCAATGACTTTATAGGCCCCATTTATATGAAGAATAATTGTCCCGGGAAAAAGGTTCTCTCTTCCTTTAACGATCAATTATCTGAGAATAACACTGACCCCTTTGCCCAAGCTAACAGCGCGCGCATGCTCTGATTGTCTAAAGCAGCGATCGCGCATGCGTTCAAAGTGTTTGTGTGGAGAAACGTTGACCCCTACGATCGAAAAGGTGAGCGGTCTACGCGCGGCACCCTTATAGCCGAGCGTAAATTTATGAAACGTTGGCGCTCAGGGCGGCTAAAGAAGGAGAGTGACCCTTATACCCCGGACAACGTTTCTACATATAAGCGAGGCCTTAATTGGCTTAGCGGTAATAGGTATCGTGACGTGACTTGACCTAAATATTGACTTTCCCAGTTTATACTAGGAACAAACGGCCCTAGCGTTTGAATCAAAAACTGTTCATCTTTATTTAAGTAGTATAGTAAGGACCGAATTGAGTTCTTTTTGGGAAGAATCTCTTAAAGTAGGGAAGGCATACATTATCGGAAACGTGCATAGTCATGAAGACGAAGGCAAACTAGCTTTATTAAAAAAAAATGTAATATACGCCCTTCCACATTTCCCATAATGCACCTTATTTGCCCCCGAAAAAAAACAGTGGTTATGCAAAATTTTGGGGGGCAAATAAGGTGCATGCATTATGGAAAATGTGGAAGTGGAGCAAGAAACGTGATTTTTTACTCTTCATCCGCCATTTGCACATCTCCCACACGCCTTGCTTGCCCTCCAAAGATTTTCCATAACCTTACACTTAATTTTCCCTGGGTATTACAGTCGTCCCAAAAGAAATTAAGGACTGCTTATGCAAAACAAGGTCTATTATAGAAGATATGAAAATGGCGACTTCTCCCTTTTAGCTTTTTTACCTTTCCTTTGTTTACGAAAAGGGCAGATTTGACAAGAATTTATAACATATTTATCACCCTAAACCTAATTAACACGGGATGATAAAAGAGGCATGTCGATAATTGGGATTCTTACGAAAGTGACATTTTGCGAAATTGACAAATTTGGCAGTTAAGGATTCATCAAAGGTCAGGCAAAAAATTTAAATGAGAACAGAAGAGGCCTATTGGCAGTTGGCGATTTTCACGAGAATGGCAAATTGGAGAAAATGGGCAAGAATCTATCAAAGGTTTTGCAAAAACCTCAAATGAGGTGACAAAGAGGGAAATCTTGACAAATGGCGATTATAAGAAAATGGCAAATTTTGGGCGAAAGAGAGAAATTTCGGCAAAAGTGGTGAGTATGCCAAAAAGTCTCTTGCCAAATATTCACATAAGATGACAAAAAAGTGCATCTGGACAAATGGCGATTTATTTGGCAAGAATTTATAGGTTTGGCAAAAATTAGAACAAGATGACAAAAGAGGCATGTCGATAATTGTGGGTTTTACGAAAATGACAAATTTTTCGAAATTGGCGAATTTGGATTCATCAAAGATCTGGCGAAAATTTTAAATGAGACAACAAAAGAGGCCTTCTTGTTTGCAACCACGTGACACGGCTACCATGTGGGGGGTCAATACAATAGTATTTTTCTTTAAGTATTAACACGAAAATAGAGTTAAGTTCCCAGAGGAGAGAAATGCTTTTTTTTTCCTTGAGCATCAGCATGGCCGCCGTGACGGCGAGTGCAAACCAGCAATATTGACAGTTAGCGATTTCACGAAATTAGCAAATTGAGAAAATGAGGAACTGGGCAAGAATCCATCAAAGGTTTGGCAAAAACTCAAATGAGGTTACAAAGAGGGAGATCTTGACAAATGGTGATTATAAAAAGAAAATGGCAAATGTAGGCGAAAAAGGAAAAAAATTGGGCAAAAATGGAGAGTTCATGGGTTTGGCCAATTACAAAAAGGTATCTCGACAAAAGACAATTTTATAAAATTTATAAATTTGGCAAAAAATTTTATAAAGTTTGGCAAAAAATTGGGCAGGATGACAAAAGAGGCATGTCGATAATTGTGGGATTTACGAAAATGACATATTTTTCAAAATTCGCGAATTTGGCAAAGGAATCATTAAAGGTCTGTCAAAAAAATTAAATGAGACAACAAAAGAGGCATATTGACAGTTGGCGATTTTCGCGAAAATGGCAAATTTGAGAAAACGGGGAATTGGGCAAGAATCCATCAAAGGCTTGGCAAAACTTCAATTGAGGTGTCAAAGAGGGGAATCTTGACAAATGGCTATTACAATAAGAAAATGGCAAATGTAGGCGAGAACGGCAAATTTCGGCAAAAATGGCGAGTGTGCCAAACATTCATCAAGGGTTTGGCCAAATATTCAAATAAGAGGACAAAAAAAGGACATCTTAGTGGGGCAGATATGTGCAGATTTGGGGCCGAATTGTTCACTTTCTGTTAAAAGCACCAAATTTTCAGGAAATATAGGAAAAAACATGGGGATTAATATGTGATATGGTGCCATCGCAAATTTTCCTGTTAAACCGGTTTTTTGGATCGATTTCTTATATGGCCACCATTTTGACCGGAAGTAATGAAGAACCTAACCGGAAGTACATGAAAAAGCGGATATTTAGACAAAAATGATGATGAAATGGTTTACAATGTGTTTTTCCCGATGTTTTTATTTGTATAAAATATTCAAATGTGCATAAATATTGTTTTTAAAGGGGAAAAACGGGAGTAAAAGCAATATTAACTGAAAGTTTAAAAAGCAATTCTTTATACAGAATGTTATAATATCACGATTCATATTTTTTGAAAACTCGCGTGAGTTGCAAAATGCCTTCCGGGTTTGCTGCCGTAACAAACAAAGAAATTTCACAACTAATCAAGCAAGCTGTTTCCGAAATACACGAAGAAAGTGACGAAGCTCGGGGTGGAAGTTTTCACAGGTGAGGCTTTGTCTTTTTGACTTGCATTTATCGATAAAACCGGCGAAAAAGTTTTGTTGTTTACAAATGCAAATTAAGTTTAAGTCTTGCGTTACTTTTTTTAGTTGACTTGTTCATAAATAAGCTTAAAACTAAATCTAATAATCCTTTTTACAGAATGATTTTAAATACAAAAAGAATTTACAACTGCTTTTGAGGAAATTTCCCCGCAAGAGCTAAACAAATGCCCTCAAAAGTTTTATTTGCCGGCAAGAAAAAGCGACGACAGCAGCCGTTCGGTCATTGCGCGCCAAAATTGTAATCGTTGCAGGCAACAGTAAATGAGTTAAAAATCACCATTTTTGGGCTCAATTATCTCACTGTTTTAGTATATACTAAAACAATTATTCACCTCAGTGTCGGCAGCTAGTGATGGATATTTACCTCGCCGCTAACCCGGTTTCGGTAAATATCCATCACTAGCCACCTCCACTTCAGTGAATAATTGTTATATATCGAGTTTTGATATGAGCGCGATAAGCAACCCCCTTGCGGCTCTGTATAAAATTTCTTACATGCATGGCTGATGGAAATAAAAAGGGGTGGATTTTTTTATCCCTGTATTGCCGTTTAAGGCTTTAAAATAAGGATAATTATGTTATCAATAGATTGTTACATCGTAAAACGTATTAGTAAAATGTTTCACTTGTGATAGGTACGTAGATGGAATGGATAATGGTGCCCTTTCCTTTGAGGAGTGGTGTAACCATCAGAGACGTAAAGTACCCCAGTTTCAGTACTGGCATACAGCCCTTCAGCTGGAGCTTCTTCTCCTTGTTTTTCTAAAGTCGCTCTGCCTTGCTGACTTTGGCATATACGTAGATGCAGTTTACAAGATGCTTCCGTACCAACTATGCCCGTTGGCTCCCTATACATGTACGCGATATGCGCGAACTCGACAGTAAGGCACTAGCAGTAGCAGAGGCATTCAAGCAGGGTTTGTTCACCGTCACAAAAACCCGTCGAAGATTTTCTTGTATAGCTATTGATCAGGCCCACGAGCAGAACAATGCGATGGTCAAGGATGACGGAGGGGCTGTGGGTCTGACAGAGAATGCCAGCGCACTTCGCAGGTGGATGCTATCCGGTCCTGAGATGGCACGGCTAGTCAACGAGTTCGAGGCATGCATGGCACCTGAAGTTAGACCTGAAACAAACAACCATCATGAAGCTGAGTGGGGTTATCAAGCAGCACACCACAAAGATGTCAGGTCACTCGTGGATGTACTTGACGAACTTGGGAACCCTTTTGAAGAAGAGGGCAAAGACCTGATCGTGTTAGATACAAAGGTGGTGGCAGACGAAGGAGGAGTATCAAGAATGCTGCAAATAGAGGATCTTGGCGTAAAGCAGTGTGACACCTTCATTTCAGAGCGCCTACTGCAGCGGACGAAGACTCTCGATGACCCTGTTAGTAGAAACAAGCTCTCCTTCTTTGAAACTCCTTCCAAGAAGAAAATTTCAAAGGCTCAACAGCAGCTGTCCTCTATGAAAAGCGACTGTTCTCTTTTTTCACGACTGTTTATTGCATGCGAGCAGAAATGGTAACTTGGATGAATTTTTTAAACATGAAAATCAAGCATGCCCCCCCTCGATATCTGATCAAGGAAATTTGCGCCTCCCTCGACAAAAGTCTGAGTTAGCCTCTTGTCTTCAAGCTCTAACTACTCCCAAGAATGCAGCCCCAGCCAATTGTGAAGTCATTATTATGGACGGAGCAGCACTGGTAAACATGCTTAAGCCCACGGGGAAAGAGAAAACATTTTCCGAATATGCCTCAAATAAGTTTATTCCTTATGTCACCGCTCAGCTTCAACATGTGAAACGCATTGATATTGTCTGGGACAAATACGTGGAGAACAGCTTGAAAGCAACAACTCGTAGGAAACGTGGATCTGGAGTACGACAACTAGTCGCAGCTAACAATAAGCTTCCAAGAACTGGAAAGAATTCCTTTGTGAAGATCGGAACAAGCAGGAGCTCTTTAGATTCCTTGCGCAATGCGTTACTTCTGTTAACTCGGGTCAGAGACAGATCATCTCTACGTATGCAAGAGGCGTACTGACGAGCCTTCCACGAGATGACACCTCCAGCCTGGCACCATCCTCGCATGAAGAAGCCGACACAAAAATGTTTCTCCATGCTGCTGATGCTATCCAATCCGGCTTCACCAAGATCATTGTTCGTAGTGTGGATACTGATGTCTTAGTACTGGCCGTGGCTCTCGTACAGAAGTTACAGGCACTTGCTTCAGCTCTGGGTGGCATTTGGTACTGGGGAACATCTTCCCTACCTTGCAGCCCACGAGATTGCCAACACATTTAATAACAACGCTGCACTTGCCCTACCTGCATTCCACACATTCACGGGATGCGATACGGTGTCCTGTTTCTATGGGAAAAGCAAGAAGACTGCGTTGGACACCTGGAAGAGTTTTCCAGACGTCACCCCTATGTTTATCGCCTTGTCCAGAGCTCAAACAGAAATAGCCGAAGAGTGGATGTCAACCCTTGAACGCTTCGTTGTCTTACTATATGATAGAACAAGCAGTTCTTCATCTGTAAACGAAGCCAGAAAGCAGTTTTTTACCCGTAAGGCTCGAAATTTCGACGCCCTTCCTCCGACGCGAGATTCATTACTAGAACATGTCAAGCGTACTGCATACCAGGCTGGCCACATCTGGGGACAAGCCCTCGTGCCAAACCCACCTATTCCTAGCCCACAAGATTGGGGATGGATATCGGAAAGTGGCGAGTGGCGGCCTTTCTGGACAACACTGTCAGAAATCACAAAGTCAAGCCAAGAGCTAGTAAAGTGTGGCTGTAAGAAGGGTTGTAGAGGAGGCTGTGGCTGTCAGAAGGTTAGCCTAAGATGTACAGCTATGTGTAAGTGTGCTGAAGAGTGCGAAAACCGTTGAAGCCAACAATCTAAGACTCTTTTGCGATTATAAACGCTGGTCTCCGAACGAAGGGTAGAGTAAATTTTGTAGGTAGTCAATGAGACATTACATACCTGTTATTCTTAGTATTCGTATACAGCATTATAGTCCAAGAAGATTGAAGTTTAGAAATGAATCTGGACCATAGAAACAGTAAATTATGCGTATACTGTCAGAGTAAAGATAAAATTAAAGAACACCAGCTAGTAAAAATGGAGTTTGGACCCATTTCTTCGATAGTTCTGACTATGGTATTTTTACTTCCGGTCTACTCGCAGTCATTTTAAATTTCTATCTTTTAAACTATAATTTATCATTTTTGTTCAAATTAAGTTTAATATGGTGTCTTTTTATGTGAAAATACAGTTACCTTGTGTATTTCCTGTCATTTTTTGGCCAAGTTGTTAATATACAGACATTTTCTAGAAAGTGTCATTTTCACTTCCG